TGGAGAATGACCGAGCTAAAATCCTGTGGGACTTCCATTTATAGACGGGCAAATTGGTGGTGGCTAACCAACTGGACATAGTGGTGGTAGACAAGCAGAGGAAGACGTCCGTAGTGATAGATGGAGGTATAGTGAATGACAGCAACATCAGGAAGAAGGAACACAAGAAGCTGGAGAAGTACCAAGGGCTCAGAGAAGAGCTCGAGAAGATGTGGAGGGTGAAGGTAACAGTGGTCCCAGTGGTAATCGGAGCAGTAGGTGCATTGACTCCCAAGCTAGGCGAGTGGCTGCTGACCTATTTTTACTCGTGCGACTGAGGTGTTTGCTTGCTCTGAATCAGTCAATCGATACAACACTACCATGCAAAATATAGCGATGCTACGCTGTAGAGCTTTTTTTCACCACCCAATCAAACATACAGTTTCAACTCTCCTGTTTTTTTTTTCACTTTCATCTTATTTTGGAAGCTGCTGAGTCAAACTCCCAGGCCATTTAATGCTGCTGACTGTTGTGAGTTTAATATTAATGCAAAACAAGCACACAGATACAAAACTATTAAGTTTCACCACGACTCTCCCAAGTGGTAAATCATTAGCCTTTAATTGTCTGTCAAATGTGTCAGCAAACACAAGCACGCTCTCACACACAAACACACAGCCTGCTAAAGAATGTTTTCATTAGAAAGGAGTGAAAGCCTGATTGTCCTGGTACAAAAACAGGATTAATTATTAGCAATAGCCAAAGCCAAATGGAAAAAAACTCAAGTTTAAATTGTGAGCACCTTCCCGTCAGGGCTGGCCAGACTATAATGGCACACGAGAAGAGATTTGTTGAAAGACAAAAAAACCCGACGTCAAAAGCACACGTAAGACACACACAAACGCACGCACGCTTACTTTGACCAGCTGTCTCCTGCTTTTGCCGTCAGAGCCGACGCAGTCGATGATCTTGGGCAGGTTGACTCCTCCGGCCAGATGATAGTGTGGCATGAAGGACCTGACAGTCACCAGGTTTTCATAACCACCGGACGGATCCACCTGTTTACACGATAAATATGAGACAAATAATTCAACCAAACCAATTAAAAAATGACACTATACACTAAACATGGATCACCCCAGTAACACTTAAATAACAAAACTTTATATAAACTCCGAAAGCAGCAAAGTTCTCTCTCTCTGTATGTTTTTAAGTTGTATTTTACCTTAATTTCCATTGTGGGTATGGTGACCTCCTCAAGGTCTCTAATTTGCATGATAGGCTGATCAGCGGGGATGGGGATAGCCTCTGAAACCAAACAAGGACACAAAGGATGTCTAAGCAGCGGACATTTAATGCACACAACCATAACATATATACACATTCAGAGGTCGTGAGTAACTGTAGAATGTTAGGTCTACTAGCAACAGCTGAGTGGACCTGAGCAACTATGAGCAGAAAAGTCTTCATCCCTTCATGACCACAGTGTACTGATCCTCTAACGGCTGCTCCCAGCAGGATAAGGCACCAAGGCACAAAGCTCAAATAATCTCAAACTGGTTTCTTAAACATGACAATGAGTTCACTGTACTCACACCTTTGGCATTTGGTGAAACCAAAGATTCACATCATGGAGCAAAATCTTTCCAGCGCCTTGCTGAATCTGTGCCACGAAGAATTAAAGCAGCTCTGATCCAAAAAGATGACTCAACCCACTCCTAACACGGTGCACCTAATAAAGTGGCCAGCGAGTGAATAAAGCATAACTCACTCTTCTCTGTTTTGTGTCTGCTGGCATCCATGTAAGCCAGTGTGATGTAGGCATCGCACAGGCGCTCGATCCCTCGGATCATCTCGGCTCGCTTCTTCCTGATGGTGGCGATGATCTTCCGAGCGACATCCGAACGCTCCTGAATGAGGGAGAACATGTAAACAATTTTTAAAAACAAACAAACACACCAGGTGCTTCTTTTTTGTCATGTTACAACATTTAACACACCCAAAGTTTCAAAACGCAACAGCGCTGTCCTCGTTTAATGCAAACACCATGACAAACGACGTGTCATATTTAAGCTCCGCATGATGGAGAGAATCGTGTAAAACGGATGGAAACATCACACTCACCAGATCAAACTGCGAGAGCTGTCGTGTAGCACTCTTAGATTGCCGGGACCTGCAAAAGTTTTCGTCTTTGTTGGCATTGACCAGGGCGAAGATGATAAAGAGCGTGTGGTGAGGGTGCTGCAGAGATGCTCGGCATATCAGCTATGAGGAGGGAGGAGTACAAATAATAAGCTGGATGTGGCTGCAGCAAACCTTTTACATAATGCGGTTTACACTCACAATAATGAATAAAAGAGCCGCGTTACCTCATTGAGGACATCGTGGAATCCCGTATCCTCCGTCACGCCAGTTGCCATCTTGGTTCCCATGCGGGCGGCCAGCTGATACATGAGAGGCAGAAACTTGTAGGACGGGATCTGTTTCACCCCTTTCTGTATAAGACAGAAACAAAAAGCTTTTTCAGATGATTATATTTGTAAGATTCAGTGCAGATATGTGAACGTTTTACTGACCTTCATCATCTCATTTACATCTTTAATGTCAGCATTTTCCAGCCAGAGGGAAGCCAGCCGGAAGACCCAGGTGTCGTGCTCCTCACCCTGCTCCAGACACTGGATGTAATTCTCCACAGCCTTACACAGAAAGCGCTTTCTGTCCGTCCGCAGGTTGGACAGGGCTTTTTCATCCAGCTCCAGCTCTCTTTGCACTTTTATTGTGTACCTGTGAAGTTGGACAAAGACAGGCTGGAAACAGGCCTTCACTTTTTCTTTGGTTGTAACTGAACCTCAGCTTAAATGCAATACATCGAGCTGTAAATGTGCAAATAAACCTGTTGGAGGTCACTTTATGCTCCTTTATCAAGCCCACTTCCTCCTTAGCCTTTTCCAGCAGGGCCTGTTTGTTCTCAAACTCAGACGAGTTCATGTATTTGTCGATGCTCTGGTACTGAGCGTCAGAGAAGCGGGCCAGAGATAAAAACGCCTCAGTCCGCTGGTTCTGGAGCCTGGAGTCCTGAAGTCCCGATTCCCCCTCTATCACCTCCACTGCCTGAGCAGAGATGAGACCTTTATTAATTCAACAGTACAGGGCTGTTCTCACGTGAGGAAGCAAAAATCAGCATAAAAAGGGCAAAATTTACAGGTATCAACACAAACATTAAAAAAATGTAAAACAAGATTAACCAGATGCACAAAAAAATGTCACTACAAAACTGTGACCCGATTCAGACGTATAAAACACACACAGACACACACATGAATTATTTAATTTTGTCTATATGAATCTGGCGTAGCCAAAGAACATAAAGTGTAAACTTGTAGACGTTTAATATTTATGTCGTCGCCTGCTCCTAATTTGTCTGGACATAAATAAATTATTCATGTGAGGGTGTGTGCGTTTGAAGGCCCGCATGCTGCCAGGCCGACGGGTAATAAACCATTCATTTCTCTAGGCGATCGCTGCTGTGTGTGTGTGGATTTTAGGGCGTTTGAGACCTTTAAGATTCCTGTTTTGGTCGCTCTTCTTCACACGAAAAGAAAATACCAGAAAAGAACTCTTAACCGGAGCCACTTTGTTAATTCCAGGAACTGTGGACACTCCACATGTGTGAAAACGTCACAATTCTGTCCTTTCAATCTTTTAATAAAGCTTCGACTGCTCATACCAAAAGCTTCTCCTTACCCTCTCCAGGTACTTCTCCAGTATGACTCCAGGACTTTCCAGGCAGGTTTCTGCCAGCCAGTTACCACACAGCCTGAGGCACTCGGTGTAGACTGGTGCTAACGCAGGATTTAAATCCACCTGTGCAACACACATCAAACCAGCTCAATAATCCATCTTGGTATTTGGATTTAACTTAGCTAATCTTACTGTTTTGCATTAGTTACAACACAGCGTTATGTGTCCAACTGACCTTTTTCTCTAGGCTGTGTATCATCTGCCTCAGCAGGCCCAGAGCCAGACCCTGCTCTCCCTTTGCCCAGAAAACCTGGGCCTCCTCCAGTTGCCACGACGACACAGGTAGCGACGCCCAGGTCCTTCCACCGCCGGCATGCTGCTTCATCTGGTAGACTGCACGCTCTGCCAGCTGGATAGAGGTTAGAAGCAACCTTCATATGACATTCACGTGGTAAATAAAAGGAAAACAGTGCTTCAAACCTTCACCTGTGGATCTGTGGATGTTACCTGCGTGTTTCCGGCCTTGCGAGCTAACCGGCACAAGTCCATGAGATGGTCAGTGAGAACAGAGCTGAGGTACTGGCTGCTGTCGGGCTCTCCCACCCTGGACAACAGGGTGTGCTGGGCCACAGAGCGGACAGCTAGGATGGGTTCCACTAAAGCAAAGTCACTGTCAACGAGGAGCTGAGAGTGGTGCCGCCACTGGCTGTAAACTTCTCTCAGGATAAGGTCTGAGAAGGGTCTGATGTAAAAAAAAGAAAAGAAAAAAGAGTTTAAACATGAATAAGTCCAGAGGAGGCGTCCCGTGTGTTACTGACTGCGCGGTATGCTTCTGCCTGAATCACCTGGAGAACAGCTCTTTAACACTCTCCAGCTCTCTGACACTCTGCAGGTTCCTGAGGGCTGGATACAGAGATGACACGGCCTCCAGACTGCCTTTGCGTAGCTCTTCCACCTCGGCACCCCTGTAGAAATGCATACGCGTTATAAAGCAGAAATAAAGCTGTTGTACCAGAGGGTAAAACTTCATATTTTGTCCACCGCACCTGGCCTGTTTCAGAGTTTCATCAAATATGGAGAACTCCTTATTCCTGAGTGCTTGCAGGGCACAAAACACAGATTCGTGAAAACCAGGATTGGATTTCTCACTCCTGCAACAGAAAGACATATTTGGAGAAAAAAAATAATCAGCTTCTAACTGTGAGATTATAGTTGTGTTTCATGCAGCAGATGCTTCCCTCACCTTTCTGACAGCTCAAAATCCCACTGGGTGTTCCTCCAGGCTGCTTGAAAGCGAAGATCTCGCAGCTCAGCTCCCCACTCGACCCCTTCGCTCTCGAGACCCCTCATGTAGGTGGCCAGGATGCTGCTTAGACCGAAGTTCTGCAGACCCTGTCGGCATAAGATTAAAGAAACTGTGTTACAGTGCACTGAATGTATTAGCTAAAATATTTCAATCTAAAACATTCTTTGGAGGAAGTGCTTCGTCATAGTATCATTTCAATCATACCTCCACGATGCCCACTTGCCGAGTGACCTCAGGAAGGGTACAGTGAAGGTCGTAGGAGGTCAGGGCCCTTCCCCACATAGCCTCGTGTTCGTAGGTGCGAATCCTGTGAATTCACGTGGCAAAACGGCATCAGCAGATCTGATAATGACTGAAGCCTAATGAGGAATAAGTGACCGTGTGAAAGACCTAATTGAAATTTTCTACCTCGTCAGGGGGCTGGTCATGGTTTCGCCACCACAGCCATACAGACTATCCGGCTCCCCAATGCTGCGATACACCTCAATCAGTAGCTCCTATTAAGTATGCAAAAATGAGAGGAGAACAAGATAGTCTTTTAAAAACAGATAAAATAGCTGATGCGTGATAATGATGATACATCAAAATGCAAGATCAACTTCGACGGCAGTGCATTTCCTGGTTGCCAAAAGACGCTGTCTTTTTTTTCCTCCCATATTTTTATGGCTGTTAAGCTCCATGAACCTTTAATTTATATTCTTAGCCAAACAAATAAAATTGATTTGACCTGATGCTGTCATTTAAAAAACAAAGCAGCCTGTGTAACTATGTGTGCAGCACGAAGAACCAACCTGCAGACTGATATTGGTGTCTTCTATGCTCTTCTCGGTCAGGCTGGAGATCGTGAAGGTCTGGCTGTTCTCTTCAAAATTTATTTTCCGCGTTGCTCTGGAGTTGGTTCTGCAGTTACAGGAAATGAATGGATCAAAAATGAAAAGCTGGATAAAGTTATTTTTCTGTTACTGTTTAAATGAAGCCGCCGCATACTTGCGACTTTCTTCCATGTTAGCTTTGATCTTGTCCACGTAGATCTCAGTGTACAGCAGGGCGGTGAAGTGAGCTGAGCAGGACTGAGCGGCTTTGGCCACCTCCAGATAGTTCAGATCCAGCCAGAAGTTTGAGTCGCACACTGTGCCAAAGGATTTGCTGCAAGAAGGCAAAGCTCTACATTCATACTACGGCAGGTTTACTGGGGCAGAGACAAGAGCAGGTCCAATCGAATAATATCTGACTACAAACCCGTCAGCTTCCAGTGGCCTCTGCTGGTGTCTGAGGTAGTCAATAACTGCAAGCATGGTACGCAGAGAGGTCTTATCATGCACGCCCTGGCTCGCAGTGTCGGACTCTGCAGAGAATAACATAGACCCTCATCTCAAAGCAAACAAGCACTAAATACGATCTATCGTCCACTGTCAAAATATAAGGAACAGGATCAATAATATTTGTCACAGATTCAAACTGACCAGAGTCAGACGTGAGAGGAGTGGCGGAGCGGCTCGAGGCCTGAGCGCTTCTGCAACAAAAGCTGAAAAAGTCCTGAATGTGGGAGGAGAGCAAGTCCCTAAACGACCCATCGGAGTCATCCAGAAGAATGGAGTGAATGATGAGAGGCAGTAACCTCTGACAGCAGTCCACCCACACCTAAACATGGAGAGAATAATGACACAGAGACACAGAAGGAATAAGGTGGAGTAGGCTGTACTGACATGTTAACTAATTAAACACAAATTAAACAGAACAATTTACTTTCTCCTCTTGTTTGTTATTCTAAAAAAATACAGAATTCTGGCTGAGTAATGTAGCCATTCGACTTCTAAACAGCTCTTAGGATAACTCACCAGGCAGAGTGGTCGGGACAAAAGCAGAGCCTCACACTTGACCCCTCCGCTGTCCAGCAGCGCTGTGCACAGAGCCTTCAGCCAGCTCTTATGGCTGCCCGCCTGGGGAATCCAGAACTCCTGGCTCTTCAGGTTTCCTCTGGCCTCTGTGCTCTCCTTGGCAGCCACAGCAACCACCTGACCATGGATGGCAGCCAGTAATCAGATGCATGAGCTTGCTGTGAGCTCCCGTGAGGTAACTTGCAGACACACGTACAAATATCTAAAACCCACCTTATTCTTGGCTGTTCTGAATGGGTTAAGGTAAGTCAGCATGGGGTCTCTGTTCCCTTTGTGTTGCTCCCAGAAGTCGACTCCTGACTGAGTTGCGAGGATGTTCTTCAGGCACTGAGCTGCTGCCCGTCTCACCTCGATTCTGGCAGACAACCACAGCACAGAGCACATCAGCTTTTCCCATCATCATGAGTTAAAACCTGATAGCTACAGAATTTGAGGAGTCAGCGTACTGCTGTTGAGTGAGCGCGTCGTTCGTGCAGTTGAGGACGATGTACAGACACTGAGACTCGGTGGATTCGAAGAGGGAGACGGCTTTTTCATACAGGGGGTCTCTGCCATGGAGAAGGGCGATGTTGGACAAGTCTACTGGGCCCAGCTCTCCTAAACAGCTGCCTGCCGCCTCTGCAGCACAAGGACTGAGCTATGAGAGCACTGCCAAACTGAATCTTATCAAACTGTTGACATGGAAGACAACACAGCTTTGATTTGTTTTACCCTGAATGTCAGCTCCTCCAGGGTGACCGGCTGCTAGTTTACAGAGCTGCAGCAGATTGAGGACCAGCTTCACCAGCACACTGTCGCTCGCGTCGGCTAAAAAGGACGACACGGATGGAAAACATTTACATGCAATCGTTCTCACGCAGAAACCACTCTTCCTCCTTTAGCATCATACCGTGGCACTCTTTAAGAAGCTCTCTGATCTGTCCTTTGTTGTCATGCAGCTGTCTGGTGAGCTCCTTTAACCCCTCGAGTCTAGTCAGAGGTAAGGAGTCACAGGACGTCACTGACAGGAAGTGGGCGATCTCCTGCAGAGGGGATAATTAAAAATTCATTACTCTCCGTATCAAAATGATGAGAGAAGATCTAAATAGACTTTTAAAGCGAGGACATTATATTTACACATGTATTTGCTGCTTTTACCTGTCTCAGACTGAAGGTGCCAGCGTTATATTTGAGTTTGTGCTGTACAGCCCGCAGCTCTCTGAATTCAGGGACATCAGGGAAAGGCTCCAACCCTCTGATGGCTTCCTTTAACGTCTGCTGATTTTCTATGACAAGAAACTGCAGCAAACTCAGAACCTTCAGGGCAAAAAGAGGATTCAAAATCAAAATCATGCACACTGAAAAGGAGCCACAGTTATTCTAAGACAAAGATATGAAATAAAGAAGAGTTTGTTATCAGCAAACAGTCCATCCTGTGCACAAAAAGACCCAGATTGTCTTCCTCCCCTAACCACAACCGCTCTCGGCAGATGGAGCCCCTCCCCAAGCCTGGTTCTGCCGGAGATTTCTTCCTGTTAAAGAGGAGTTTTTCCTTCCCACTGTTGCCAAAGTGCTTACTCAAAGGGGTTCATAAAATTGTTGGGTTGTTCTCTGTATATACTATTGCAGGGTCTACCTTACAATATAGACCACCTTAAGGCGACCGTTGTTGTGATTTGTGTAAATGGCTTTCCTAAAAACTGTCTTTCCCATTTTCCTAACAAAATATTAAGAAATTATGGGCGGCCCAAGAGTTTTGAACTGTATGCTGTGTACTAAATACTAAATACATTCAACGAACACCACGCTTTGCCATGCAATCACTTACCTGCTCTGAGATGGAGGGTCGGCTGGTCACCTGAGCAGTTAGAGTTCCAATGATGACCTGTAGGTGGCAGCCCAGAGCATCATCACAGACCTGCAGGGACACGTGACACACGGAGGCCAGCAGGTCACAGCACAGAGCGAGGCTGCGGGTAGAAACCTCATCACACGGAACTGGTCTGTGGACAGCAGGAAAACAGTGTTTATGTATGTACAGCACAATATGTGTGAAATGTAGAAAAACTGTTCTGTAACCTAGCCTAAAACCGCGCTACTAATGTAGCTAAGTTAGCTCAATTTTTAGCCAGTTTTTGGTGGTAAATGACGCAGTTTGAATGTCTGTTTACCCATTTGTTTTTAATATCGGGATACCTTGTAATGATAGAAAATAATAATAATAATAATAATAATAATAATAATAATAATAATAGAACAGGAATAGTATAAAAATGACCGTTTTTTTGCTAATTTATATATATGTATATATGAAAAAGGATAGCAACAACTTCTATATATACATATGAGCATTTAAAAACAGCCATTAAGAATGGGAAATGACCAATTTCAGTGATCACACACTTGCTTTGGTTTAAGTTATATGTTATGTTATCTTGGTATTACAAATTTTAAGATCAGTTGTTGTTTTTATTTCTAGTGGTAACGTGTTCCACATCTGTGGGCCTTTAATTTCATATAATATCATCTGATTGACTTACTCAGGAGTCACACCAGTGTGCAAGTCTGCCTGCGAGTGCACCGACCTGCTGTTAATATGGTGAATGAGCGTGTAGATTATATCTCTGAGAACAAAGGCCCAGGCTCCTCCCAGACCGTCCTTCACCTCCCTGAGCAGCAGGCTGACGAACAAATGGTACATGAGGAGGATGCGGTGCCGTTCATAGCTGTTGGTCGTCTCCGCTGCTCTTTCACACACGGCCAGCAGAATCCTCTGGATAGAAATCTACAGACAGATGTAACATTATTGCACATAGAACAGAAAACGGAACACTGTCACTATTATCAAAACAAAAAAAGTTTGACTGGGTGACAATACATGAGACATCATACCGGGGTTTTTGACAGAATGGCTACCAGTGACTTGTGGTTGGCACCGTGGCACTTGCTGAGGTAGTCCAGTGTAGCTTTGATGACATATGAGCTGAAGTATGGTGGATTTGGTACCGGGTCTAGCTCTCTGAGAGATATTAAACACTGATTTTGACGTCCATTTGTTACCATACTGAGTATTTAGATGAATGAACAGTAAAAGAAAATAAAAAACAACAACAACAACAACAACAAACTACTACAGGACAAATATCCCAATACCCAATAAAGCGTTTCAGGTCTCCTCTGTCTTCTTCAGCTCCACTTCCTTCATACAGAGTCATGAGCAGTTCCACTACAATGTCAGCCAGGTTACTGTGGATCAGGCTGTCGATTTGCTGTGGACACATGTAAGAAGGTGAATTTTAGAGTATATAAAATCATTTGACTATGGCTTGTTCAGCAAAGCATTTGTGACCTTGATAACATTTTCTCAGATCTCAGGACTGACAAGCAAAAGTCTTGAGTGCAGATGTACTGTCAATACAAGCTGGTGTTACCTGTTTACCCAGACAGCTGGCATCTTTGAGCAGGTCATACACCATGTTGGCCTTCTCTCTCTGCTGTGCAACCTGCGAGTCCTGGCCCGGCAGTGCAAAGTATGGCAAAATGTTGACCATAATCTTTGGGAAACAGTCTGCCAGTAAGTCCCTCCAGTCTTTGTCGAGAGACCTGCCGATAGACTTCACCTGCTCAAAGTCATCCAGGAAGACCAGGCGGGGGATCAGCACCGGGTAGGAAGAGCTTTAAGGGTATTGGAAAAGGATGCTCAGTCGTAATACACTTGATTTCAAAAAACACCAGCTTAATGTAACTATAGCAGAAGGAAATGTGACTCAGTGGTGCAAAGATGAGCTTGTTTTCTCACTTATAGAACTCTTTGACTGTGGCATGATCCAGTAGACTGTAGGGGAAAGATCCAAGAGTGTAGCGGTCATCAGACTGTCTCTGTGCGAGCCACTCGGCCACCAGGTAGTTCAGGTGAGAGCTGACGAATGTTTTTACACTCTTGTAGCCCAGCGCTCTGGAGACACTGCACAACATCTGAGGTGAAAGAGAGGACAGGACAAATCATGTCACCCTGGACGATTACTAAACCACAGTAAATCAGTTTGCATGCTTGATTGAAATATTCTCCTCCCTATATTCTGCGCCTTGAAAAAGGAACTCCCATAAATCCACATGCAATAGAGTCAGTCGCAAAAATCCCACCTCTTACTGGCAGTAAAACTGGCCCATAGTGACATACGGTGCAGTATTAATCTGCATCAGTGTAGTGTTATCCAAAGCACGTGTTACCTCACTTTTACAATGCATCAAGACCTTGTAAAAGCAAAATTGCATTCAAGTAGCTTGTTACCTTTTTAATGAGCTGCTCTTCAATATCGTTTTCTTTATAAGACTGAAAGAGTGCAAACAGGGACTGTTTTTCACACACGGGGCTACAGCACAGTACGACTGACAAGCTCTTGAGCAGGGTGGCCTTGCGGTTGAATATCTCGTCCTCCCGGTCCTCAGAAGAGCAGCCTCTCTGCGTGCGATTACACAAACAATACGTTAGTCGGTGTGTGTGTGGGGGGGGGTATAGCAAAGAGTTGCCGACATGTGGTAATGCTGCTCGGTCTTACCGGAAGCTTCATCCCCTCCTGAGCCTTCAGGTAAACATTCTCAAAGGCTTTCTGCTGGTGTTTAAGTGGCAGCATCTTCTTCTTATCTGGTTGCTCTGAGCTCATGTCCAGAAACAGCCTGGAGATGCGATACCAGCGAGCACATATTTATCTGTCTGATATTGGTCTTGCTTTATGTTTATTAGTGGTAAAAGACGGAAGCGTACCTCTCCACTGAAACGGCTACCAGCATGCGGACTTGGTGGTGTGCGTCTGCGAGGTGAGATGGAAGGACAGCAGACACGGGATGGTCGTCCTCTCCGTCAGAAGTTCTGATGCTCAGGACGGCCCACTTACAGCATGGGTCGGCCTAACCAAGCCGAAATGACAGCAAACACAAAAGAACAAGCAAAGTCAAAAGCAGTGACAACAAGAGCTGCTGCAGTAATGGGACACTTTTACAGGCAGTAAAAACAGCAACACGTTGCTTAATCGTAGATTTTACCTCCAGGAGAGCAACCAGACATTGCACTAAAGCAGCTCGCACAGATGCCACGCATTTACCCGTATGGCTCAGGAAACTGAAACGCAGTACAATAGGAGCATTAGTAACAGTTCTGACTACTATACACTTCCACAGAAAACAATACATTGTTTGTAGTGCAACAAATATACATGTTTTACCCTGTAGCAAACCCTTAAACAAGAGAATTTCAAATTCCAAAAGAAGGTAATTTTACACTTGACTTCTCTATCAACGATTGAAATCATGTATGTAAATGTAATCTTTTTTAAAGAGCAGCCAGTTCATCTATTAATGGTGTAAAAACATGCTTCTAACCAGAATCCGGACACCACTTTCAGCAAGGATCCTTGCACGTGTCTCATCTCCTCTGGCATGTGATGGGTTTTTCCCAGGCTCTTTATGGAGGGTAACAAACTCATCAGTACAGCAGCACAGATCTCCTGGTCCTGACGATACAGAGAGCACAGGTCCCTGTGAAGACAGCAACAAATACATCTATTTATTACCACAGACACATTAATTCACGTTGTGCAGATTGAATGTGTCTCATACGCCAGAGGACGGAGCAGCGAGTCAAATTCCTCCGGGGAGAGCGAGTCCTCAGCAGGAAGCTTCTTCAGCAGGATGAGATACTGCAAGAAAACCAGATAAGATCAGTGTTTCTGGCTAAAGGGTTGCCATGGTGATCCTCCAAATTTGCTGCTCCCTACCATGTTGAGGTGCAGGGCTTTACTGAAGTCCATCTGCTCCACCAGCAGCAGCAGCTTGCGCCGCACTTCCTGGGGTTTGAAAAGCAGGCCGTGGACGGGCTGGACCGAGCCGCACTCGCACAGGAACTCCAACACTGCGAGGAGAGCCAGGTCCTGCTGTGCCAGATGATCTTCTGATAGAAGGCTTTTCGCACCTGCAAGGTAGCGAGCAATGTGTATGAAACGTGCTAATTTTTTACTTAGCTGTCTGTGTTTTTAAGAAAGGAACAAACCAGGAAAGGACCCGACATACCTGGGCCGCAGGAAGTGTCAGTGTTGTCTCCTTTGGGCCTGTGGTTCCCGTTGGTGCTGCTCTGGGGCTCTTCACCATCATCAAATAAGTCAACATCATGGCCTTGCTGAGTTCTGGTCATTTCCCATTCATCATCCATGGGGTCATCCTCATCCATGACAGTGACTCTCCTGGCAGCAGTGCTTATCTAAAGGGAAAAAGAAGGGAGCTTGATTTCACAAGCCTGCTTTTCACATTAAGGTTTTTCCTTTTGTATCTTTTAAATCTGTGACATGCTCTTTCTGTCGCTTACCAACATTTTGCAGATTTCCGCCAGCTCGCTGAGGAGGCTGGCTGGCAGAATCATTATAAAGAAACCAGAGGAGGTGGGACAAATATTTTCCTGCAGAATGATCACAAAAGTAGTTAAAATCCACTGTCAATGCCTGACTTCGACTTTAAGAGATATGGTTGTTTTTCTAGAAGAAAAGCTTTGTCACCTTGTTTTTTCTGCTGGCAGACTGTGTGCAAAGCTTCATAACAGACCTCAGGGTGCCCATGGTCCCTTCCTCTGTCATTTTTACTTTCACCCCTGAAACAAACCCGCTGAAGTCCTGGGCGAGGGCCTATGAGCAAGAACAGCCCGAAACTTTAAATCTGGGGCTCATATTTCATTTCAACTTTCAATATGACAAACAAGGGTTCTCAGCCAGGCAGGAATCAGATTTTATGACTTTAGATAACTGATTACCTTTGCTCTACCGAAGAGCTGCGATCGGCAGGCCTCCTCCTCAGTCAGAAACCCAGTGGAGACGTAAGCTGCCAAAACAGCGGTCAGCTGACTGAAACAACGCACCAGACACTCTGGAGGAGTGGACTGAGACTGTCGAGGGTCCAAAACAATAGATGTCATTGTTTACCATAAAAACAACATTAATACGTGCACAAACATCCGACTTTAACTCACTTCAGGAGAGAAGCAGTTGAGTAAATTGTCAGCCACGCAGAGCAGGGACTGCTCCAACTTGTTTCTGAGGCCGGGGACAGCAGCAAACCGGCTGTCAGCTGACGCCGTCCTCGCCGACTGGTCAAATCTGCGGACTTCTGACGGCAACGTGTTGAAGCTGAACTGCTGGTACAGTCTCTCGATCTGTTCCAGGTTGTCTTTGGCATCAGAGGGTATTTGCTCTTGAGAAAAGACACTTTGAAGAGAAAAGAGTTGCAAAGAGGGTTAGTTTAATTCCCAAATCTCAAAGCAATACCTACAGAGAGGGCAGAGAGAGATGCAGTGCAGAAACTGGCTGTATATTACAGGTTACGGCTAGAAATTGTATATATTAATAAAAGAGGTTGAAAAATGAAAGAATTCCCCTCACCTTTCTATGCCATGAGTACCCAGCAGAAACTTTAGGCCGACTCTGGCGTCCTTCATAGTAAGAGAGACCAAGATGTTCGCTATAAGATTGTGAGGAAAGTCTCTGCAATTAAAAGAAAAGTTTAGGTTTTATCTTAAATACAAATGCAATAATACAAGATAAACTTTATTCTAGGAAAAAATCCAGAAACAAAGGAAAAATATGAAGTAAGGTTCAATTTTCTGAGATTTGGAGTTTGTGCAAACAGAAAAAGAATCCTATAAACAACACTTTTTTAACTGGAACATCTTATCTTTTGAATATAAAAGCACCTTCTACAAATATTAACATCAGTGTATAACCTGCCAACCTGCAAATGATGGGGTGAGGTCTGGAGCTGTCCTCCATCTCATCACTCTGGTCGCTCATCAGCATCCAAGCTATGAAGCTCTCCTTCATATTAGGTGATGTGGCTCCTTCTGTGGCCCCTGCAAAGTCCCAGCCTGATGCTGAGATGAGACTTTTTGGGACCGGACACTTTAGCAGGGCCTGGGCAAGACAGAGTGCAGCACTCCTGCGTACGAGGAATCGAATCACATTAGTACCTTTTGTGTAATTAAAGAAAACTACTGTTGCAATGAAAAAAGAGAGAAACTCACTTGGACGGTTTGCATACAGATCCAGATAAAAGCTTCCAAAAGTCTCTGTCCACATTAATCAGTCCTCCCTGGATGATGGAGGCCAGCAGGTCCAGGCTGAGGGACTCTGTCGGGGACGAGCTGACCCCACGCACTGCCAGGCCCCATACCTTAACCCAGAGCCTTCCCAGCTCCGTCCTGTAGACCTGGGCTCTCTCTGGGTAGCGAGCCTGGCACCGGGCCACCTCCCTCAGACAGCGCAGCACATACACACCCCTCTCTCCCCTCCGCTGCTCTGCCAGGAGCTGGTGCAACACTGACAGCAGTGAGACCAGCTCGCGTCCAGGCACCATGTATGGGTACTTAGAGGTAAGCGCTGTGGTGATTTGCAGCCTGAGAGGGAAAATAAAAGACGGGAATGTCTTTATGTGACGCTGATAGCACAGCAGTCCTCTGTGTCTCAAGGCAGAGTTGATGCCCCATAAAATAAAAAGCAATAACACTGATTTAAAAGTCACTCTACCCAGTAATCATCTTTATTTAACTTGAAAATGTGTTTATATTATTTGTGCTGTGATTATCATACCACGGTATGACATCAAAGTCACTGTGCTGAGGCTGCAGATGCTCACGGAGGACCTCCCAGCCCATTTCGATACGCCGGCGCTTGCTGGCAGCTCCGTGGGTGGGACTGCCCATCTGTGTGGCTCTGATGGAGGCCTGGGTGACATCCACGATGTGGGTGTCACTGTCATCATTAAACAGCTACAGCAAAGAAACGTAAGAGCGTTTAAAGGATTAAATGCGTCCAGACACCCTCCTCTAATGAGCTTCCTCGCCGCACTTTTGAGCGAAGCTGAACCTTGATGCGCTCGGTGCATACATGACGTTCCAGCTTTCTTACCTGGTGACAGATGTCAGCCGTAAGCTCAATGAGATTGTCTTTGACGGCTATGTGTCTGGTCCCTGTGACGTACTTCCCTCTGCTGCCTATGTGACCAATCTCCCTGACCAACGCGTTGTAGAGGTTGTACAGCAGACTCCGCCACTTGGACCAGTCCTCAGCATGTGCACCTGCAGTATGAGTGAGAGCAGCCACCAGCTATTGGTTATTTATTTAAGGATATTCAAATATTTATGTTCATGACGTTTAAATAATTACTGCCAACAAATGAACGCAAACCTTGAGTTCAGCCACAGCTTTGCAAAAGTTTATATTTTTGATGTTTGCACCAGTGAAATTTGAAAGATTTGCGCACTGCGATTAAATTTAAATTAAACTTTTTTGGTTTCTTTTACTTTTACTGGTTTCTATCTAACATTTACACACACTCACACATGAGTGCATCAGTCTGGAATGCATCGGGAACAACCCGAGATTCAGTATCATGCCCAGAAAGAAGGTTGGAAGTGGGAGCAGACAGGGATCGAACAACCAACCTTCCAGTCCGCTCTACCTCCTTAGCCCCCCAAATGCAAACTGAGCATCAGAATGAGGAAGAAAGCTGATTTCATTACTTTGAATGTACCATGCTTGTTGTTGCAAGACATGCTGGTCTGAGTGTTTTAGAAACTGCTGATCTGCTGGGATTTTCCTACATAACCATGTCTGCAGTTTACAGAAAATGATCCAAAAAAGAGGAAATGTCCAGCGAGCGACAGTGGTCTAAGCGAAAATGCTTTTGTGATGTCAGAGATTAGAGGAGAAAGGTTATATTGCTGTAAGAGATAGGAAACTCAAATATGCCCTTCTTAAAACAAAGTAGTGGATGGTCTTAATCAAGGTGAAGAAGAGCATCTCAAAATGTGCAAGACATCAAACCTTAAAGCAGATGGGCTACGGCAGCAGAAGACGAACCAGAAAGGAAGGTGTACCTAACAAAGTGTTTGGTGAGTGTAGATCCAGCGATAAAGCCTGACCTCCGACCACTATTAACCACAAACGCTGGAAACCAACATTTAAAATGAAGTTTTTAAAAGAAGAACCTGTATCCTGTGTCTTGGCTCCTTTGGGGTGGTGGACACAAATCTGTAGGTTGAAGAACTCCACAATCTCCTCTTTGAGAGCTGGACTGGGCCTCATGTCTGCCCAGACGTACAGTATGGAAGGCAGAAGCTCCTCTCCCAGTCGACACAGCCTCATCCTACAATTCATAGCTGCAGATCTCAAGAAGATGTTCAGAGCTGAGACGAGGTGCTCCAAAACAGCCAAGTGTTTCTCCTGCCTGATACGATTGATACAAAGGATGCATAGTGTTTAAATTTAGCGACTAATACCGGAACATTTATGCAACGTAAATCTAAAACAGTGTTAAAAGTCTTCACCTGACATTAAGCAGTGCTTTGGAGAAAAAGCTGAACAGCGTGTCATTGAATCCATCGGTCTGCATGCAGCAGCCCTGCACCACCGTGTGGATCACTCTGCTCACCAAAACGCGGTTGATGGGTCTGGACGAGGAGTTGAACAAACCACAGTACAAGTCCAAAAGATCTAAGGATCAAGAATAAACACAGATCCATCAGTTCTTACTTTTCTCTGCTTCCTGATGTTTGGAAAATAAAACTCCAAATAGCCCACTGACCTTGCCACTGCTGTGGAGTGATGTCACACCAGTACTTGCGGACAGAGAGGATGTCCTTTACAAGGAGGCTGCTATAATCTTCTCCATAGGCTGAACAGCAGTACGAACTCTGCAGAACCTCCAGCACATGTTTCAGCAGCTCACTGCACTTCAGACGAGGCCCGCCTGGAGGAAGAAGAGGACACTCTTAACTGCAGTCCCCACAGTTCATTCAATATGTTTTCTACTGTGTCTGATGAATTAATGAAAGATACTTATAAATATAAAGATATATGAATGTTCCCTAATTTATTACGACATACATTCACCCAAAATTGAAACATATTGCAACCTGCTCCTGCTCTTACGTTTGTTAGCACAGCGAATGAAGTATTTGATCAGGCTGCATATTTCAGCCATCTTCTTCTGCCGCGTGGCCAGCGTGGTTGCTGTGACGTTGGATTTGCTTGATTGCATGCTTTCCGTCTCCTTTTGGACATAGCGCTGCAGAAACCTGATGCAATAAAATGCCAAGCAGAATAAAGAGCGTTCATTTATTGAAGCCACTTGTTCTGATACATGTGCTAACTTTAGCTAAAATCATTTATGAGTTACGAGCATGTTGCAGAATATGAAATAAGAACAAATACTTATTTAAGAACTTTTCAAAAGATGCAAAAAGGCAGAAAATAGTACCTTCTCTGGAAACACCTTATAGATATATACATTTTGTATTTATATGGTTGCAAATACTCTGAGGCAGGTTACCTGAAAACAGCATCCCATGTGAGTTGCTTGGAAGGTTTTGCTTTAGCTGATGAGTTACGATCCAGTTCTTGCACAATCTCTGGAGATCGGAGGAGCCGTCTGAAGCGCTCAGCTTCTTTCTGATAATAAAAACGAGATGAAATAAAAAGCATTTACACCGCACTGATTAAAACCATTTCAGGTTTATTTAATTATGGATAATTCCCCACAAAATTCACTTCAAAGCTCTTTATACTGTAAGTTAAAGACCCAACGGTATTGGAGAAAACCCCAACAATCAAGCGACCCAATACGAAAAGGCACTTAGCGATAAGAAAAAACCCCATTTTAACAGGAAGAACCAGGATTTGATTTTCTGTTCAATAAATACATATAATGTGTCACAACTGAGAACTTGTGGGGCTATACAGACTATTAACATACCAAGATGACTGGCATATCTTATTTTGTTTTTGTTGCTATTTGTGCCAGGAAAGTAAATAAACCTTTATTTAAAAAAATAACTGATTTTAGAGTCTTTCAGCTATTCATCGCACTGCCTTTGTACACTTATAAAGTGCAAAATTGATGTCGTGCAAGCCACAGGCAATTGCATCTTATTTGCAAGTGGGCAGGACAGATGCTGATGCTCAGCAGATGTATAAGCAGTGCAATCTGAGCTTCTGACTGAGCTCTTCTTACTGTACGGTAAGAAGAGCCCTGATTTGAAGGTAGTAACTAAAAGAAGTGAATTAAAGAATAACTGTGGTAGTTACTGGTGTTGGGCTGCTTTGCCATGATAACTGGACAACAGTGTTAGTTAGCATCCTCTGTTATTTTAAAATATGCTAAATAGGGAGTTGTTTAACCTATTTAAAGTACATTGAATCGCCTATGAATTCATTTATTTGGACAACTGATAGGCAGTAGTTCGTCTTTTTCACCTTCCTCTCTGTAGCTTTGTCATTCTCGAGAGCTCTGCAGCAGGCCAGGAGATCATGAAGAACCAGGCTCATTGTGCCTCACCGTATGTACACACTGGAGGGACAGGATGTTGACAAAAGTTATTCATCCGCTTTATACCTACACTATTATTACTTAGTAGACAGTGTAGATTTCACTTTATTCACTGCTTCACTGCTCATGCAAACTACTTTAGCAACACGACACTGGCAGATTAAGCTTTTAACTTCATTCACAAACGTCCATTCAAACACCTGCACTGTTCACTGACCTCAGATGACTGCAGCGATTGCAGTTACGGAGTTGTCACACGCGCAGGTGCAGATGTTAGCTGAGGTAAGGCACACAGCTACTGTACCTGCCATAACAACTTTGCCATCTTGTAGAGCCACACACACGCACGCACACGTAACCCACGCATAAAATATTCCCGCCCCAGCAGCAAGGCTCAGCTCCTCACATCACTTCCTTCTCATACCTGGTATTGAGTGAGTCCATTCACTTTTCTATCAGCATGAAAATAAACCTAATGTTTTTAATAGGAATGGTGTTATTGCAGTGGTATACGACCTGCTAAAGTCACGTTCAACCTATAAATTGAAGTATATATATGTAAAAAACTATAGAATGTTATCCAGATAGATTTTTTCTATTTGGACTACAACTACCACAATTCTAATCAATAGCTTGGTCTTTGTACTTCCGGGTTATACGTGCTTGAGTTCCCCGCCTTTTGAGTATAGAAGCAGTATTGTGAAGACGTCGCCTTCACAATAATATCACTGACGTGGTTTCATTTCAGTCCGTTTTTGAGCTTCTCGGAGACTTTTTCTGAACATGGAGTTTCCTGTTCACATTTGAGGCCGCTTTTACCAACAATTAGTCGGTCATGTTGCTACCGTCTGATGTCGCTCGGCTTGTTTTGGGTAAGTCTGGTCGTCCATAGCAGACGAGTAGCTGTGGGGTTAGCCAGCAATGACAGTCGACTGTAAATGGGTGGCTTTAGCCTCACAGCCTTAACGGTTGATTGGGCTGCAGTTGGAGGGTAACTGTTACTGCTGACTGAGGTGCTACTAATGTCCTTCCGCTAGGGTACCTCCAAGAAGAGGGACTGTCAGCTACAAGCCAAGCTTTCATTCACGAGAGCCCCAACCTGAAAGAGTATGCCGAGCACACCACAGGAGATGGGACTATTCCTGCTTGCGTTTTTGTAAGTGTGCCTTCCTCCCTCTTGTAAGCCGCCTCCACGGCCTGAACTGTCATGATGGCAGCTGACTGCATTTATGTTTAATCTTTCCTCACACAGTCCATCTTTGGGAAGAGCCTGACAACCATTTTAAACGAGTATGTAGCTGCTAAAACAAAAGGTAAGCCATTCAGAGGATATCTTTAGTGTTTCATGACCGATTATTGTTCATATGTCATGGTTTTGTTGCTGATGATTACTCATATTTTCAACAGAGTCTTGTCATGAGGTTCCCGTCATGATGACTTCATTGTGGAAAAAGCTGGATTTCACACTCAACCAGATTAAGTAATGAGCTTCACTAATAATTGTGTGATAGCATAGGATGCATGGGGCTGATTTTGAAAAATGATTTCTTATTGTTTTCTATTGTTGATTGGTATGTTGTTGTGAGACAAAAGATAAACATCTGCTGCTGTGTTTCTGAATGCTAAAACTTGGTGAAGTGAATCAATATGTGAATATTTTTCTGCATCTTTCCTTAGGTCATTGCAGAATTCCCCTGCTATATCAGCATGTCAGAGAAGTAAGTTTGTCAGGTTGTTTGTTTTGATGTAATGGGCTAATACATGGTGATGTAGCTGAAAGCATCAGGTTTAATGCATTGATGCAGAAATATACCTATAACGTAGGAACAGAAACTGTTTGAAAAGGGACTTCCCTAATCATGAGCTTATTGTGATTATAGTTGCCTGTTCCTAAAACCCCAGGAATTGGCATGTTACCCAAATAACTTCTGAATAAAAACATTGTCTATACATCAAATTGGGAAATTGGCACCATGATTACTTACAGTTGTCAAACAGTGCCTCAGCATTCAGGTTTTATATGTAACCTATTTACTTATCAGCCTCTGTGTGTTGCAGCACGTTCACGTGTTGGATTGGCAAACATGGCTAGACAGCGGGTCCTTGCCGTGGCTTCTGCGGGTGCTGTTGTCTGTTCATCGGTTTCTGAGACGAGCACCATCATCAGCCCAGCGCACACCTCCCACAGCATGCTTGCCCACTCCACCCCAGTGTGCTACAGTGGTCCGAACAGCAGACCAGCTTCTGGCAGTGGCACAAGCCAGCATATTCATGACAGCAGCCGATTAATGACTACACCCAGTCAGTAATATAACACACAACTGAGTACAAATGCTAAAGTAAAGTAATGCTAAGATCACAGCTTTTTAAGGAGATAGCAGTGCTCTATGAGCTCATTATTCATTTAATGCACACATACTAAGTCATAAAATGTAGTTTTTAATAATAAATATTCAAACTTATTCATTACAGGGGATTCACCCATGCAGATCATTGTTTCAGAGCATCGGCTAAATCCAGGCCCAATGTCTCCTGGTCGAAGGAAATGGTAAGAATAGTTGTTAATGCTTTACTATAGGTGTTATTACATAAACATCTGTCCAGAGTGCTAAAGACAAACTAATCTAAAGTGGATGGAAAAATTAGCTTTCATTGTACACAAATTGTGCATGGACATTGCTGTTACAATGACTTTAAAGTATCACTGAATAAACCTTTCGCATTGCAGAAAATGTGACTAATGATTGCAGAAACAACAAACATGTACTTGGTGTGTTGCATAATCCAGAATGTTAGTGATTCAGTAGCTTTTCTTGCTAAGGGTTTGTCAAACTTCACATGGTGTTTACTGTAAAATAACAGTTGTGATCTTGAGCACGAAAACAAATGCATCAGGTAGGGATTGTGAGCAAGTTTGATTCATTTCTGACCAATCTAGGAGTAGTGATTCTTCTGAACTGTGGATGGAGAGGACATCAGATGCCATGTCATAAGCTAATTGGTCCTTTGGCTGGTTGAGCTAAAAAAAATGCTGATTGTAGTTAATTTCACATGACATTAATCAGTCACAAGGCTGTGTCACTGCTTATTCTAAATGACTCAATATCAGTATGTTGTTCCTTAATCTGCGCACACACTAGAAGCAATCCTCAGTGATATAGCCATAATCAGAGACCATAGAAAGTGATATTTGGTGACTTCAAGTGACTGAGACGAAAAGAACATGCTGGTGACGCAAAGTCAACCTGGAATATTGTCTGTGCTGGGTCACCCCAACTTTATTGATTAATTCGATCTTCAGCATGTGATATTTCTGTTTGACTTTATTGTGCTGTTATTGTTATTCCCATGGTTTGTTTAAAATGTTTTTCTGTTGTCTTCAGGGACACCCCCAGGAAGAGAAGTGGTGCTCCGAGTGGCTCCAGTGCCCCTAGCAGATCTGCTACAGCTGCTAGCAGCAGCAGTGCAGAACCCCAACCTGAAGAGGCTGTTGATGAAAACTTCCCTGTAAGTATGTCAGTAATGCTAGGTTTCCTAATCGCAGAGAAAAGTTAAAGACTAGTTAAAGATCAGACACCAGCGAGGGAGGATAAGAAGGACAGACGCAACAACATTGTCATCCCCCATGTAGCCGGTGTATCAGAAAAACTCAGGAGGGTTTTCTCCAAGCATGACATCCTGGTGTACTTCAGACCTAGCAACACGCTCAGACAAAAACTGGTTCACCCGAAAGACAAAACGCCAAAACACAAACTTAACAATGTGGTGTATGC